ATATATATATATATATATATATATATGCATTGTCATTTTTCGGGATTCGCCTGTTGATCGCGTGTTGTTTGGATCATTAAAGTTGTTTCCGAGGTTTTCGTCTTCTCACTATTCGCCATGCTAGGAGTCTGGATCAAGAAACATAGCTGGGGATAGAATATTGTCACAGTCCACATATTTTATTGTTTGCTCGCTACGTAGTCGAACCGTAACATTGGTGGGATGTGATGTGATAAACAAAATCCGTTCCTGGCCGAAATGCATCGGGTCAGTGTTTCGTGTTCCACCATGAGACGAGGATAATAAACCTGGCATTTATCGCAAAAGGTGTTCTGAAAATAGAGACCAAGACGGGTCCCTCAACTGTACAGCTTTCTACAGTGACAACACTTGCGTAGAGATAAGCTGAGGCCATGGCTCTATTTACTTTTTCATTAGCACAAATTTTATTATAGTCCGTGCGAAATCCTAATAGGAATGAGAATAGTCAAGAAATCCTAATAGCTTTTTAGTGAGGTCGGCTAAGGACTATTGACTTGCAGGAAGATTTTGACGAACTAAGCGAACCTGATTGGGTCTGTGATTCTGGTAAAAATCATACAAGCGGAATATTAAAAAAAACAAGTTAACCACTCCAAAAATAGTCACTGTGAACCGAGGTACCATTTGATAAGCAACTTCTACATAATTCAACTACATCAAACCAAACAATAATTGACATATTGAGTGCTGCAGTGACGGGATGGGCTACTTTGGCTGATTTTCGTTGGTCAACGTTCAGGCAGGTCGGAAAGGTCTGAAGGAAGTAAACCAAAATCTCTATCGAAGAACTGTTCGCGGGGGACAGGCCATGGCACGGTAATGAGAAACGAAAGTGGTAAGTGGTAAGCTGGGAGTTACGGACTTCCGCGCCTCTCGGTGGAGTCCCTTTACATCGTTGAAAACCCAACAATATACAACAAGTAATATTTCCTGGCGGCGAACATGTTGTCATTTCCTAGCCGGACTGTCTAGTTCAAGTATACCTTTGCTATACGCCAGACTACTGTTGGATGGGTGTCGAGGGAGGTTCACAAAGGACGCTGGGGAAAGCCAGCTGCTTGAGTGTTTCCTTTAGAGACACGGCTTTTGTAACAAAACCCATTCCTCTCTTTCATTCTTACTCTTTACCAAGGATCTTCCTTTACATACTTATGATAGTGCATTAGTATGTAAAAGGATGGTAGTGGTGGTGGTAGTGATAGCGACAATGATGAGTACGATGGTGATCGCGATATGGAAAAGCATCAACCGGATAAAGAGACACGAGTACTCTTGCGTATCCATCACAAAGTGGTTTGACGATAACGTCGCACTGGGTCGTGCATCGGAGCGTGATATCGATAGCGTTCGCGCTATCGCTTTCTAACCTCATTTTCTAAGAGATGTGTAGGAACAACGGACTCTTGTAATTAGCTACCACAAGACCCATTTAGCTTCCCCTTTGGTTATTTCCGTTATTGTACAACTTCATCTAAGTAAATTGATGCAGTTGTTCGGGCGTTACGCGCCGGTGTCCCCCTGCAGATAAAGGCTTTCCCTCCAGATAACCAATGCTTCCACAATAACAGAGACGACGATATTACCGTCTCCTGAAGGATACGTTGGAAAAAACGGCTAGACGGTTGGCTTTAACTTCTGATGCGTTGTTCAACACGGTTATACCAACAGCACGACGAGGCTGCGAGAGTAACTGTTATATACAATACCATTTAGACTCCATAATTATTTCTTGCATCCTCGGATTCAGTCAGCTTCAGAAGGCCGAGTTGGGTCGCGGACTGGGTCATTGGTAGGGAACGAATCCACCAAGAAAACCATAACACCCGAAGTGGCACTCCCATCCATTCACTACCTTGTGGGTCCGACTTCTGAGTACCTCGGCAAAAATCCCTTTATGGCATGAGCAATCAGTAACTACCACTCACCTCTAAATCCTTCATTCACTGGACCTTTTTAAACACTTAACTAAACCCTCCTACCCCATTTTGTCCCGAAAAAATAACCCGTCAGAATTTCG